ACTTACTCTTAGAGTCTTCGTGCCTTGATCTTGAAAACTGCAATAATAGTATCTACCTTGTAAAATCATTGCAAGATTATATCATATTAAGCACCAAAAGCATTGGGCCAGACACATTCTACGTGATCAGTAAATACAAGATATTATTCATATTAAGCACAGGGCCACATTAAAAATGATTACTATATTTAATGGTTTAAACATATTAAAATGAATAAAAATATTAATCATTTTTAATGTGGCTCTACGCTTAATAATAAACTTTTAGAAAGAAAGGGAGAAAAGGGACATAACTAAGTTCTGTCCATCCCAACACATGCATCTAAAAATGACTGGTGCATTGACTAAGCATGGAGAAGTGTGTGCCCACCTCAGAATCTGCATAAATGCTTTCACCTCTCACTCCCCAAAAGGTGCAAGTCCACTGCTTCTTCAAGGCTCTTAGGAGCTGTCATGCTCAAAAGGCAGCAGATACCAGCCAGCTGATGAAAACTGCCTTTCAGAAGGCTCAAGACTTTGAGGAACAAGGCTGGTACAGTTGTGAGCTGCCCAGCATACTGCGGCTGGTGTCTGGAAATTTTTTTTTTTTTTTTTTTTTTTTTTGGAGACAGAGTCTCACTCTGTTGCCCAAGCTGGAGTGCAGTAGCATGATCTCGGCTCAGTGCAACCTCCACCTCCTCGGTTCAAGCAATTCTTGTGCTTCAGCCTCCCAAGTAGCTAGGACTACAGGCACATACCACCACACCCAGCTAATTTTTGCATTTTTTGGTAGAGATGGGATTTCACCATGTTGGCCAGGCTGCTGTCCAACTCCTGGCCTGAAGTGATCTGCCCACTTCAGCCTCCCAAAGTGCTGGGATTACAGGCATGAGCCACCATGTCCAGTTTAGTGTCTGGAAAGGTTCTGATGCAGTAGAGAAAACGAGAGGAGCTTTTGAAGGCAAACAACCAAAACCAGTGCTCCCTCACTCCCTTCCGCCTCTCATTTTCTCTTCCTTGATCTCAGTCTCTATTATTTTCTACATTTTTGTGTTGTCTTTTTCTGACTTGACTGGACATAACGTTGAACTGAAATAGATTTTGTATTACATACTTATGAAAGTTTCATGTTCCCCATTCTTTAAGTGTGAATTAAACATATATTTATTCTTCTGGAAAAAAAAAAAAGGTAATGAAGTCATTTCTAAATTACTATCTTTTAAACTCAATCAGTTTCTTCTTCTCCAGGTTAAAGCTTCTCCAGGAACAAGAAAAGGTTCACACGCAGAACCCGTACCAAGTTTTCAAACCTTTCACCCACTCCTTTTTTAAAAAGCAGTCAATCTCTCTTGTAGTATCTAAGCTTTTCCTAAACAGTGAGCAGTTTTTCCTAATGATCCGATTTTATGGAAGACCCTAGGATACATAAGTGATCAAATGGCTTGTCCAGAGTTATACAGCAACTATTAAACATATGTTCTTTATATGGGCAGCCTATTCACGCACACTACTTCTTGAATTGTTATGATGCAATCCTAAAATCATGCAAAGCCAAGTGATTTTTCAGTAGATTAAATATTTCTGGGAAACTTACCTTCCCCTAACTTCCCTCCCCCTTCCTGCCATTAGCCAATACATTTAAAATCTTTTTCAGAATTTAAAAAAAACTTTTAGCTATTTTCCATGTCTAAGTTGGAAGTAATTATTAGTATCACTGAAGTCTATACACTTGTTTAGTATACATCAGTATCACTGAAGTCTATACACTGTCGAAGTTTTAAAGAGAGGCGAATTCTATAAATCCAATTTAGTTTGGATTGTCTCCATTAAGCAAAGGAAATTCTAATGTTTCATGGACAATCTGGTAGAAGCCCTATAAGATTTGTGTTAAATATATATGACAATAAATAAATAATAGCCTGTAAAGTATTTGTTACTGAGCACTA